TTAGTGAATCATAAATGATAATTTATTTTATTTGGAGTAGTAATATTCAAACCTAAAGGTTTAAAACAAAGTTATTTAACAATTTATTTATTAGCAATTGTGCTTCTTGACTTTAATGTATGTAAATTTGTACAAGCATGCTTTTTCTCTTCCTCGTTTTTCTCCCAAAAAAAGGATGAAAAAAATCTTTTAATGGACTAGCTGAACTAATGTGCAACTGTCGTTATAATTTTGCAAAACTTTCAGGCAATTTGGAAAACTTCCCTTTATTTCTATAATTCTCCAACAATATGTTACATTATCTTTGAATAAATATGTTGGTAACAATACTTTTTTTAGTTTAAATGTTTAGTAGCCTGGCATAAGTTCAGGATAGACTTCATTCAACCATTCCGGAGGATCTTCTTCTTAACTTCTATCCAGTTTTTTTTTTAAGTAAATAAGTAAAGTTATAAGAGTAATAAACTTAAAAGAAAATTTTTTTTATCTGTATTTATTTTAATTTGATCAGGTACATGTTTTTACAATTTTACAGTTAGCTTTATTATTTTTAATTATACTTTAAATCTAATGATTTCATAATTACTCATAGTATCCAAAATTATACAAAGATGATACTTTTCAAAGCAATAGATTCATATCATTTTTTGGTATTTCATATTATTATCAATTTAACGATAACGATATGAAATACCAGAATATGACATGAAACCATTGCTTTGAAAAATATCATCTTTGTATAGTCTTGGATACTATGAGCAATTATGAAATCATTACTGTACTCCAATCATCTTGAATTAGAAAAACGTCACAATCATCATTAAAGTCATCTTCCATTATATTAATTATTTCTTCATTTTTTTACTATAAGTTCTGAAAATATCTGTTTTTTATTTGGGGACTCATACTAAGGTCTAAATATTTTAGGCAGCTAAGTAGTCAAGTCAAGATTTTCTACTATGTTAAATGATATATTTATTTAAAAAAAAAACTTGCAACTTGCGAATCCAGTTCATTCTTCTGATTACTTGTTATTGTAGTAACAAATTTAGAAATGAATGTTTGCCGTTGCATTAAGTTGCAGTTAAATGAACAATTGACAAATAAGAAGAATCGCTAATAAAGCTTAAGCGATCTTGATCATTATTTTCTGACTGGTTAGACTTGTTTGATGCTGCAGATGTAGATGGTCTTGACTCTAAAACTTATATATAGCTAAATACTTCAGCGAAATCATTAACACATCCTTTTTTCTTTCTTCTAGATTTATCAAAATGGATCTTAACTCTCTCTCTAATTTTTTAATTATGCTTTTTTTACAATAATTACATATTACTCAATTTGGTTGATCACTTAATATACTTTATTCTTCCCGCCTATTTTCTTCTCTCTGATTGATACTTTGACATGTTAATGTCAAATGAAGAATCTACTTATATTTTAAATTTAACTGAAAAGATAACTCAATTTAAAAATAGCTTTATAATAGAAAAAAATGTAATCTGATTATTAATTAAGTTTTTGTAAAAGACAATATAACTTTAAAAAATGAAAAATAGCTTTTAAATAACTATAATTTTATTAAACTTTGTTACTAAAGATTGATACTAAAGATATATACCAAATTTTAGTAAAAACCCAAAAACCCAATAACCCACCCAAAAACCCAGTTGGCTTGGGTTTTTGCCAACCCTGGTTTAAACCCCCTCTTAGTTTGATGGGGTTGCATATGTTATATATATATATATATATATATATATATATATATATATATATATATATATATATATATATATATATATATATATATATATATATATATATATATATATATATATATAGTATATATATATATATATATATATATATATATATATATATATATATATATATATATATATATATATATATATATATATATATATATATATATATATATATATATTAATAGTTGAAGATTATTAAAATAAAAAAAAATTAAAAAAAATCAAAATTGAAACCTTGTGGTATCTAAGTAGATACTGAAAAATAAAAGTGGCTATGGCCTTTGAGCATAACTTTAATACTGTAGTTAGAAAGGAATAGTTTAGACGGTATTGAATAGAATTCAGGAGAGCAATTTGGTAAAACTATAACAGAAGTGTTATTTGGACCTCAAGCACTAGTAGAGTTTAAAAAAAAAAAGACTTTAGCAACAGATGCAGGAGTGAATTGAATGTCTAACAATGGTCTAATCTGTTTCACATCATGTTTCTATTAGCACAAATATTTCGGTCAATTGATTAAGGGAAGAATTAGAGAAAAAGTTCAATTTAATTAGAAGTCTAAAAGTGTTAAGTCTTTAGAGGAAGAAGAACAGTTTAAAAAAAAAAGAAAGGTACTTGAATGAAGATGTTCTAAACGGAAGTACATAAAAGAGTTTATTGTCAACCAGATGTTTCAAACTTAATTTTAAGGAATATAGATGAATCGATGCGTATGTATATGCCCAGACCATGCATTTGATTGTGATCTTTTGACTTTGCAAGTCAAAAGATCACTATCAAATTGCTGTCAGAACTAAGATCCAGAGAGGAAACAGCCAAATTCAAATTAGTTATAAAAAGAGCAAGTAACTTTGGTGAAGTCTGATTGAGGTAAAATTCAAATGATAAAAAAAATTCGTAAAAGATAAATTGAAAAGATTTAGTGGTGATGATGGTTTTTTATGTTTAGTAATTTAAGAAACTTTAGTTATGTTTTAAGTTGAAAAGAACTTGAATCAATTATAGTCAGAGCATGGAACCCTGAGCTTTAATTAATGTTGTTGTCTTAGTCTTGCTAATTAGCCTAAATTCTTAACTAAAGGCTCATAATGTAGACTTGTCAACACACGTCAAAAGCAATTAGAGGACATTATCCAGGCGCAACATGACATTGTTAATACTCTGATATTTTATAGCTGTTGATGAAATCAGCCCCTCTGAGACCACCTAACCACAGAAGTTGGGAAACCTTACATCTAGCCGGCCTTAAAACCACTAAATTAATTTTTATAAATGTACTCTTATAGGAGATAATAGAGCATTACACATCCGCTATCAAGGAGCTACTACCAAGAACCCATGAGTAGATTCATCATCCTTGGCAGAAGACATTTAAAACAGGTTTACATTTAAGCTAGTCTAATAGATAATGAAGATGTGCAAAGCTGGTCAATAAAACTGTTCTGCTTACCCCAAAGGTCTTTGCTTAGAAGAGTCTTTACAAGACAGTTGCTTGATGCAAGTTACATAAGCCCAAGATGAACATTTTTATCAAGACATCATCTATAGTCTTTACTCTTCCAAAAGCCCTAAGACAGAAATATTTAGTCAGAGTTTATTTATCTTTAAAATTTTCATTAAAAAGCGACATGGAGACACGATGCAAGAAATACTGGATTACATGTTACCAGTAATATGATAATCGTCATGATCTCAAACCTGACCTAATCTGCAATTAAAATAACCTTAAAACCTGACCCTGAAAGGTTGCCGAAGACTAAAAATTATTCTTAACCTCATCACTTCAGTCTAGAGATTTTAGCAAATAATTTTAATCCAATATTGTTAATATATAGAAATTGAAGCTGTGGCTAGGCTCCCCCACACTTTAATTGGGTATTGGGGCAAGCAATTTTAGAGGACTCATTTGGAAATTTAGAGGCCTTTTTGCAAGTTCAAGAAGGGTTTTTGTTTTTTTTGTAAAGCCTAGCAGAAAAATTTCCCTAATTATGGGGCCCTAATACCAGGTGTTGGGAGGGCCTTCAATCCACTTACCACGGCACTGATAGAAATACAACAAACTTTTCTTTCCAAGTAACTATTGCGTTGGCTTAGAAAACATGTTGTATGAAAATATAATAAGTCTAACTTTTATTTCCGACACAAAGTTTGTTATGGAACTTTAAATCATTTGTCTAACTCTTTTTTTTTTCATTGCCCTCCCCTCCCCCTCTTGGTTTTCAAGTTATAGTCAGCATTTTGACAAATTTAGTCGGGTATTTGACACAATTTAGTCGGGTGAATTTTAATTATGAGGACTTTTTTAAGAATTCACCGTCTCCCCCCTCATTTTATTTGTAGAATCGCCTCTAAGTAGATGTAAAGTAAAAGTTTTTAAAATATAAGTATTAGGAGAATTTTAATTTTTAAGCATAAAACCTATAGCACTGTACAATAAGTAAATATTTAAGAGAAATTTATCTTAGAGCAATAAGTTTTGGATTTCTAACTAGTCTATTTAAAATAAAATTCCGTTTTATTTAATAATTTTTTTGTCTGAACTTAATGTTCTTCCAAAAAAGTTTTTTTCCTTTTCCAAATGTTCAAATAAAAAGATTTCTAACAGTATTTTGTGTTGCTTAAGTTTTGCGTTTATACAATTTAAACGAAAACAGCAATTAAATCAAGGCAAGTCTCTGCGCATTTACTAAAGATTGACTACTGTTGTCAAATGTTTTTTTTTTTATCTATATGCTTTCTAGACAAATAGTCTTTAATAAATGTACTTACTTTGCCTTACTTGCATGATAACGTTGCAGTTCTCATTTTGTCAATTTTATGTTATTTGCAATCTTTTAATTACCTCTTTAAACTGAATGAGAAATTAGTTCTACTATAGTGGAACCAATTCCATATTAATTTTAAAAAAGTATTTGAAAGATATAAAAAAATATATTCAGCTGCAGCAGAACTTTTTCTGAAAGTTTTACTTTTTAACACCCATTTTAATATGCGCCCTCTTAATAGATGATGTATTAAATTGATTTGATGCAAAGAAAGCACGTTGCATTAAATTAATATTATAACAATTACAGTCTTTTTAATTAAGTCACCCTCCTTTCTTCCTTCGTCTTCCTCCTCCGTATCAGTCTTATCTATCTTTTATGAAACCCTCTACTCGTCTTTTTTGCGTAACAATATTATTAAAGAAAATACACACTCGTTCAAATATTTGAAAACTATTCGTTTGTTTAGCACTGCATTCAAGGTAAAATGGCTTATTCTCCGCTGTTAATGAGATTGGCTTGTGGTAGATATTGTCATAACCCAGGTGGATTTTGGGAAGTTTTTGGATATGGCATTTTTGGAATTTATAAAAGTGACTGGGACAAAACCGGTGGTAGGTTAAATATAAGTAATTTATCGTCGAGGATAGTGCAAATCCATATAACTAGCATTATCTACTATATTTGGATATCAATAATTTTAACACCAAATATCTAATTTTAACATAACAAAAAACATGAACAATACTCTTTATACTAAAATGTATCCAAAATCTGTTGAAGTTTTAAACTTTTTCAGTAAAAAAAAAAATGTACTGTAGATACGCGGTATTATCCAATGCTAGTTACGCGGTTTTGCACTATCCCCGACGATTTGATACTGCATAGTTTTGAACTTACAAACTAATATGATTTTTATGCTAAACAAGGTTTATATGATGTAATTTTGAACCATATAAAGTTTCAAATGTTTATACTATATAAATTTTGATTATAGGAATGGATGTTGAAAAGTTTCTTCATCGAGATGCTTGGGGAGGAGAAGATTGGGATTTTGCTGATCGTGTGATAAAGAATGGATTAGAAATTGAACGCCTTAGAGTTCCTTATTTCTTTCATTATTTTCATACAAAGAGAGGAATGTGGGACAACAGTTACTAAAATTGTTGTTAAGACGTTAAAGATCTAAACAACGGATAAATCAAACATTATAATAACGAATATATCATATAACAAATATATTTTAAAAGAGACTTTATTGAAAACTTTATTAGCAAATACAAAATAGATAAGACTAATAAATCTATCATCTTAATAGCGAATACTTAGCAACAGTTAAAATTTTTTCATTATAGTTTATATTTTATTATTTTTAAATTGTAAAAAACCTTTCATTTATTAGTATCAAATTTTAATTTTTATTTATAATAATAAATTATTTTTATTTGTAATAATAAACTTATATTTACAAATTAAAAAAACCTTTTAGATTTCTTTTAATTTTTGCCGCTAAAACATTTGATGTGCACGATAAAGTCATGCTTAGTTGGTGTTTTCTCGATCAACCTTTGATCTTTAGAGAAAAAAAAGTTGCTTAATAAATTTAAAAAAAGCAAGTGTGTTTTTGTTGGCCTTTAATTACGAATTGTTTTAAAGCAGTATTTTTTTTTCTTCGAATCATCGTTAAAGAAGTTAAGTGTTAGAGAAGTTAAAGAAGTTAAATGTTAAAGAAGAATGTTAAAAGCTAATTACGATGTAGTGTAAATAACTTTACAATCTTACTTGATTTAAAAATATAAATTTCATGGCATTAATATACCATTTTGCATTACATGTCGTTAAATGTCAATCTTGCTTTATGTTTTAAAATACCACATGATGTTTTAAAACATAAAGGAAGATTAGAAATATACTAAATAGATTTATTTAATGTATTTCTAATCTTTCTAATATTTAAATATATTTTAAAATATTTAAAAAAATTATCCTGAAATTTTTCTGTCAAATTTTTGTTTCTGTGTTTTACGGTATAACTATCACTATTTTAAAAGCATTTTTACATATTTTAAATTGTAGTTATGTAATTACGCCATTATGTAATAACCGCAACTTATAATGATAATAATAATAATAACAATAATAATAATAATAGCAATAACAATAATAATAATAATAATTATTATTATTATAATAAGTCGGAGCCGTAACAACAGAGAACAGATGTGGAGTACAATAACATAAGATATTGCACTATAACTGCTAATATTAGTTTTTGAAAAATTATAGTGTTTTATCTCTACACAATTTGTCGAGGTAGCTCTTGAATTTGTTAATTGAGTCAGCGTCTACGATTTCATTTGTCAAGCTATTCTATGGATTAATTACTCTGTTGAAAAAAAAGTTAAATCTACACTTGCTTTTACAAAAAGATTTATTCAAAGTGTATTTGTGCTGACGTAGGTTTAGAGCATGTTTAAAACTTTCATTTTTGTGAACCCAATTTATAATATCTTGATTGTGCTCAATTTTGTATTGTTTTATTAAATCACCTTGCAGCCTACGTTCTTGTAAGGTTGTTAAATTCATCATTTTTAATCGTTTTTTGGAAGAAGATTTTTTTAGTGATGATATGAGTTTGGTTGCTCTTTGTTGAATCTTTTCGATTTTGTCAATATCTTGTTTCAGATAAGGACACCAAACTTGCACAGCATATTCAAGCTAATCAGTTACTAACAAAATGTGATCTTGATTTGTATCTGAATCATGCATTACATATGTGGTTTTAGGATTTTTTTTTTGCCAATATGCATTACCTTGCATTTATTATAATTGAATTTTGTTAAGCAGATTGATGACCATTCCATAAGATAATTTAAATCTGCTTGCAGCTTTATAGGATCTTCAGCTGATTTTATAATGATTATTATTTTACTGTCATCTGCATACAACTTTATATAGTTTTGGATATTATCAGGTAGGTCATTGATAAAGATTAAGAATAAAAGTGGACCTAAAACTGAGCCCTGAGGTACACCACTAATAAATGGTAACCAATTTGATACGTAATCTCCTAGAACAACTCATAATCTTACATTGAATTGATGATAAAGAAACTCAATAATCTTACATGGAATTGATGATAAAGTTATTGGTCTGTCATTAAGTGCATCATTTCTATCTCCTTTTTTAAACAAAGAAGAAATATTTGCACATTTCCATAATTGAGGTAATTTTTTTTCTGATAATGACTTTTGGTATAATAATGATAGTGGTATGCTTATAGTTTTACAACACTTTTTTAATACATAAGGACTAATTGCATCAACATCAATAGCTTTATTAACATCAAGTTTTTGCAATTGTATATATTTTCCCATCTTATAATTGAATAACAATTTACCATAAATTAATTTTAATTTAATACTCTGATGGTTTAATAGATATTTAAAATGTAATACATGATGTGCTGTATCAATATTGCCCATAGGTGGATAATGAATTATTTTTTTATACGATCAGGACATTCAGAAAACATTTTGAATCAATTATTCTTTACTCACTGTATCAATAAACATTTGAGCATGTTGATTAGAACTTGTTAGAGTTTGAACCTTCTTTCCAATTAATGTTAGGATAATTAAAATCTTATATTTATATTAAATTAATCTCTAAAACAGCAATAAAAAACTTGGATTAATAATTTTTTATTAATTGATTTTATGAATTGATAATTGATTTTTTATTAATTATATTTTATTGCATTAATTTCATTAAATGTATTTACCATGATAAAGTAATCGCTTTATTGGCATTTTTTCAAAAACACTAAAAATGGTTTCGTTCGCGTTTGTTTGTGATTTTGACCTTTTTTGACCAAAAATTAAAATTTTAACAAATACACAAACAAGTTGTACATTGATCAAAATAATTTAGTAATATCAAATGTAGTTTTTTTTATTAGTTGTCATGATTGACAACTAATAAAAAAGTTGATATATTTGCATATTTCATATGATATATTTAGCAATATTTTGGTATAGGGAAAAACGAGGCAAGATATAAATTGTTTTAAAATTTTTAAAATTTTTTTTTTATTTCAAAACTGTCAACCATGAAGCAGTTGTACGTTGTTGTTTTTTTTTGTTTCTTTTACCATAATGATTTATAACCTGCATAAATTTTCAGTTTTCAAGTAGAAAAGTTTTTTTATTAGTTTTTAATAAAAACTAAAATGCAAAACTCATAAATTTGTCATCTGATTACGTGGTCGAAGCAAGATGACATATGCGTTTTCTGTCCCAGTTTCATAAAATTCTAACTAAGGTAAAACAAAATAAACAGAATAAAAAATATTTCTAAAAAAAAATTACATCCGAAGGACACCATCCAATAGCAATAACCGAAACTGAGTATTTTTTTAAACGCAAAAAACAAACTTATGTTCATAAAATTACGTTAACAGTATTTATAAAAATAGGTGTTTTAAAGATATAAAGCTTTTACTATAAAATATATTTTTATGCGGATGAATCTTTCAATTATTAATTGTCGCGATCAATGTTATGATTGTGTGAGCGTCATGACAGGTTATAAGTCTGGAGTTGCAGAGAAAATAAGTGGCCTCGAACCCATAGCACTATAATCCTATTGTTATGATCACGCTTTAAACAGTAGCAGTAGAAGGTTTAAAAGGTTTAAAGCTATCAGCATCATGAAAAATGCTCTGAACACTTTTCATAAAATTACAAAGTTGATAAAAATATCTCCCAAACGTGAATGCCCTTTCAAAAAGGTAAAAAATAATATTCTCCCTGGGACACCCGGTATTCATATAATCAGCCTTACGCGCTGGATGGTAAGAGCAGAATCATTTAATTCCATATCTGAAAACTATGAAGCTCTACAAGTTGCTTAGGAAGAAGCTAAATCTGAGACAAAAGAAAGTGAGGTTGTTGCTTGAATAGGCTGAGTTGCACCACAAACAGACAAACTCATTTTCTTGCTTGGAATTGAATTGGGCAATACTATTCTATGCATGGTAGACAATTTATCAAAAATTTTGCACGACTAGAGAAGGTCAGAAAGTAGTTGAAAGATTTTTGATTACATTGAAATCTATCCGGTCTGAAAATTCATTAAAGCTATTCTGAAACCGTATTGAAATCAAAAGGAAATTGCTTTAACTAGAAAAAATCTGCTTTGCCCCACCCACTTGTTGTTCTGAAGTAGGAGCATCTGCAGCAGAATTATCTAAAAATTTTAGTTTTGACTTTTTCAAGAAAATATATTTTGAAACTATAGAAATGACAATTGGCAGTATTTAATCTTGATTTGAACAACCAGGATATTTAATGCTCCAAAAAATAGAATCAGTACTTATAAATGTTTCATCTGAAGGTAAATGAAGTTGAAAATAAATCATTATCAGAAATCAAGAAGTTGATAAAACTTATCCTTCTCATACCAGCAACAAACGCTACTAGGAAAGAGCTTTCAACATACTATGAATAATCAAAACTTGTTTAGATGCACCATGAACCAAGCACGGTTAAACTGGTGTATGCTATTAAATATACGCACACAAACTGATGAACTGAACATCATAAATATAGCCAACGGTTTTTGTAGCCGAAGTGAAAGTAGAAAACTGTATTTTGACAATTTTGAAAAAAATCTTGACTGCTATAATGTTTTAAAAAGGTCTTATACTATATAAAACTTGAAGTTTTTAAAAATAGCCAAAATTTGTTTTCAGTTTCTGATCTATATTTTAATTTCCGAATTACATACGCATTCGAAAATGTTATATTTTAAGACCGAATTTTACTTCATATCATTAAAAACGTTTTTAAATAATAAATTACCTCAAAAACCTACATGAGATCACATTTTAAAAAAAGTTAGTGTAATACATAAAATATAAGCATTACTACAAAATTCTGAACAGTTTTATTGTTAAAAGACATGTTATTTGCACCCCAACTCTTCATTGCCCCACCCCAACTTGATTAAATAAGTTGTTTACGGCCAAGAAATATCATTATCAATTATCATTTTGATACCTTTTTTTTAGTTATTTAGGTATCTAAACTAATAAAAAAATTATAATGAAAATAATAATTATATAGATGTCTAGAGTATAATGTGATTTTTTAAATAAATAAATTTAAATTTGCATGTTCAGCAGAATTTTTTTTGTATTTTTTTTTTTAAATTTAAATGTGTGTTAAGAAAATTTTCAGCTGAATTGGTCAGTGTTAGGGTTAGGGTCGTGGTTAGGGTTAAAATTCTTTGGTCCAGCTGATATTTTTCTTGCTATGCTAATAGGATAGTTCATGAGTTGTCTATTTATTTCAATACTTTTGGGCAAAGAGCACATTTATATTTTATGATTTCTGATGATTTTAATTATATATTGCCATATTTTTTTAGAATTATTTTTGTATTTCTCAAAAAAGTTGGTGCAGTATTTTTTGAAGGGTTTTTCTTTGTTTTTTAAATTGTGATTTATTTTATTAAAAAAGTGATTTATTTTGAAAAAATTTCAATTTAAGTATTTGATATACATTTTTTTTTATTTCTAAAGATTTTCTTAGATTTTTCGTAATCTATGGTGGTTTTATACTTTTGTTTGTTTTATATAACCTAAATTTTAAAAAGTTTACATTGAAAATTGCTTAAAATATTAAAAAAAAGATGTCGTATTTTTGTTTAGTTCAGTACTAATTATAAATGTAATTACAGAGCCGACGACACGGTTTAAAAGTGGGGGGAGGGGCACAGTTGCCAATTGCTTAAAAAAGTTCTCTATATCTAGCATTTTCTATAAAAGAAAGGTCTTTTACAAAAAGCCTTTACCTGCCCGTGTCGTCGGCCCTTAATTATTACTGAACTAAACAAAAGGCATATAAAACTTTATTATAAAACCTTTTTATCAAAAATAATTGTTCTCTAAATTAAAAAGTTTTTTTTTTGTTAATAAGGCGCGCGCGCGTGTGTGTATATGTGTTTGTTTGTGTGTGAATGTGTGCATCTTTGATATGTATAAAAATGATTTAAAGAAAACATTGCAATACATATGAGTATGCAATATATACAATTTACTATACTCATATATATATATATATATATATATATATATATATATATATATATATATATATATATATATATATATATATATATATATATATATATATATATATATATATATATGTATATATATATATATATATATATATATATATATATATATATATATATATATATATATATATATATATATATATATATATATATATATATATATTCTCTAGGTTTTGAAGCAGATGTTATGTAAAAAATTTTTAAGCCGCAATTTAATTAAATTAAGTTTAGGAACTTTTTGTTGGCGTCTCGTGAGTTAAATTTTTTGATCGGTACAATGGCTTTTAGATTATTTTAATAAGTAATATATCGGTGATACATTAAGTAAAGAATTGATAAATAATCTTTGCAAATATCTCTTAAATTTATAAGAAATTTTTTGAGGGTGCTTTTTTTTTTTCAACTTTGTTCATTTTTTTGTTTTTGTTTTGTTTATTCATGTCCCCTAGGCCAAGTGAGTCGCTACAGTCGAAGAGACTACTTCAATGCAGTTCCCTCAACTCCCAAAATGCGAATTAAAAATTTTGACAAACAAAGCTTTTTTTAAACTTATTAAATTCTATTTAGAGACTCCATCAAAAGATTAAGATGACTTTAGTTACGTTAATCTTTTGATAACTAACCGTATCTTCTTTAAGCTCGTGTCTGTTTTTATAACTTCTCTTTAAATTTTGAATGACTCTCTATTATCATTAACTAAAACAAACACACGCATGGCATGGCACGTAACTAATTGATAATCTTTTAATTAACGCACAGAGATTTTATATTTAACTTCAAAATTGAACTCCTTGAACTAGAAAACTTCTATTTTATGATGTGTTTAATTACTTCACATTAGTTCGACTTCAGAATTGGAGAGGTCACACCCAATTACATTTTTGATATATTTGAAATCACTGGTCATACCCTATAAACTTTTCTGATTTTTAAAACAAAGCAAAAATCACGTGCTGAGATGTTGTTGTTTATTAAAATGAGCCTTGATTACGCACTTAAAATACAGATGTCGGTTATTTGCAAAATAGTTCCAAATTGTATTAAAGTAAAAATTCCAAAGAAGCTTTGAAAAAATGAAGCTGTTTAAAAGTGGAAAAGGGTCTTTTGAGTGCAGAATTTTGCTTCTTGATAATACAGAGCAAAGACACACTCTTACGGTAAAATCTGTTAATCTATATTTATGATTTGGCTTGCAAATTAAAATTTAGTAAATAATTAATACACATATATTTGCATAGCGTAATCTACGTGTGAATAAATATATTAGTAATAATAATCATGGCAATAATATTATTAATAAAAACCATAACAATAATAACAACAATAACAACAACAACAGCAACAAACAATAAATAATAATAATATAAATAACAATAATTATTGTTGTTGTTGCTATTATTGCTGTTGGTATTATTATTTTTATTTTGTATGTATGTTTGTTTACATGCATATATATATATATATATATATATATATATATATATATATATATATATATATATATATATATATATATATGTATATAAATATATATGTATATATATATATATATATATATATATATATATATATATATATATATATATATATATTTATATACACATACATATATATGTGTGTGTGTGTGTGTATATATATATATATATATATATATATATATATATATATATATATATATACAAATAGTATTGCGTACTATTGTAAGCAATCTGACTTCATACTTAAATAGCCTGCTGCTGGGGGCTTTAGTACATACATCGACTGACAAATAGCCTGACTCGCAGTGGAGTGCTGCTACATCGACTGAGGGTTTGGGATGGGGAAGCAATCATTTCATTCATCATTCTTCGTTTTTTCTTCTTCTTTTTTGAAAAAAAAGGTAAGCAGAAAAAGTGAGCAAATGGTTATCAAAACACGCTTTAGTAAGTGTATATATATATATATATATATATATATATATATATATATATATATATATATATATATATATATATATATATATATATATATATATATATACACACATATATGTATGTATGTAAACAAACATACATACAAAATAAAAATAATAATACCAACAGCAATAATAACACCAACAACAATAATTATTATTTATATTATTATTATTTATTGTATGTTGCTGTTGTTTTTGTTGTTGTTGTTATGGCTGTTATTATTGTTATGGTTTTTATTATTAATATTATTACTATGATTATTATTACTAATATATTTATTCACACGTAGATTACGCTATGCAAATATATGTGTATTAATTATTTACTAAATTTTAATTTGTAAGTTTTACTTTTAGCGATCAATTTTTATATACTTCTAAAGTGAGGAAATAAAGATATAGATAGTTTTGTGATTCAAGAAAATATGGAGCTACTAGGATTCAAAGCAGTTTAATACTGTTGATCATTGCAAATTATCAAATAAATATCATTTAATCAATTTAAGCTGGAATTTTGTTTTTGGTGCTCAGGCACTAGTTTAACAACCATTGACAACTTGCAAATGATCTGATATGATACAGTGAATTCAGTCTCACAAGTTATGAGTTACTGATACTGGCAACCTATTTGACCTAGTCATTAATGAAAGTGATGAAGATTTGCTTAAATATTTTAAGCTAATTAAGCTGGCAACAAAATGATCTGAAATGTACTTCAACATCAAACTGTAAAAAGTTAAACTGTTTTGTTCTTCTAATGGCTTCTATCAAATCTATAAGCTATTTATAATCTGTCTTTTATCCAATCCAAACACTATCTCCAAAATTCTTAAAACATTGAAAAAAGAAAGGACTTGAATCCAAAAAGAAAGGCCAAATAACAATATTTCTTGAAAACAGTGGATTGATATAAAATAAATTTGTTAAAAAACTGTTTCTGCACTAACTGTAAATTTGATGATGGAAAAGCTGTTTTATGGGAATAAAGCTTCAATTGTTAAAAAGTGTAGTTCAAAGCAGGTAAAAACTATTCCAAGACTTGATACAAAATATGATCTAAAAGAACATAACATCCTCCTGTATGAAAGTTGTGATGATATTAACTGATGTAGGTATACTTTTAAGCTGTTATACTATGAACAACTACCTAGAAATTAGACTGAAAACATAAATGATTGACAGAAAAAATGAAAATTCAACAGTATGGTGAACCAAGGAGCAAGAAACCCAAACAGTAATAGATTGAAGCAAGGCAAAGGTACAGATATCTTTTTGTCAGTAATTTCTCAATATTTTACTGGCATGCTTTGGATGAAATGTAAAATTATGAACAATAAGATTTTAAATATGAATAGATCACAAGTGCCAAATATTCAATCTTTTGTTTAAAGGGTCATATTTCTTTAAAGTACTCATTTCTAAAATTGCAATTTAATAAATGTTTGTATGTATATATATGTATGCAATTTAATAAATGTATGTATATATATACATATATATATATATATATATATATATATATATATATATATATATATATATATATATATATATATATATATATATATATATATATATATATATATATATATATATATATATATATATATATATATATATATATATATATATATATTGCCTAAAATTTCAATTTAAGATAAAATAGTCCAAACAGTTATTTCTCATCTATATTAATGATTTTTCCTTAAAGTGGCTGTATTTGTTGATAACTCAAATTTATACTCCTATTTTATACTCTTTTTATAAGACAACCATATAATTCAGTCAAAATTGTTACCCATTTTTGATTGCTAAGAAAAGGTGATTTTGATCTTGAAAGTGATCTCTTTTCTAAGACAACATGTTGCCCCCATTTTCTTACTCCTTTTTCTATTTTATAGCTCTATAAATCTTGTATTATTCCTTGTATGGAATACTGTTGTCATGTTGATCTTCTTGACTTGAAGCAAAAAAAAAAAATATATATATATATATATTTGGACTGGTTCTTCTAATTATGGTCATTTTACTTTGGACAAAAACCAAAAAGATATTGTAAATAAAGTTGGACCTGCTCTAGCTCCCATCTTACGCTTCTGTCCGATTTGTCATATAGTTTCATATTTTTCTATTTTCTATAACTATTACCATGGTTACTGCTCAAGCAATTTACATCTCTAATTTCTTGTTTAATCCCAAAAATTTAAATTTTTTCCAACCTAAAAATCTTGTTCTACCTAAACTCAATTACACATGACTCAACATGCCGCAAAGTTACAGCCGTTTTCTGTAGCTGTTGAATTATTCTCAAAAAACTTTTATAAATCTAGATTTTTATCTCAAGCATAATACTTTAGAAGTTCTGTCTTCATGTTTTCCTCACTTATGCAGTTTACGGTTTTTAAAGTCTTCTTTTAACCTTTTTCTTGTTATTTAACAGAGCAATAGTAGAATGTTCTTAAAAACGGTAGTATTGTGTTTTTATTTTAAAATGTAATAACAGCAATTAACTTAGTTATAGTTATAATATTTTTATTTAATTAATATATTATAAAATATTTATTAAATTATTAAATTGAAATATATTTATTACATTTATTGGTTATTTATCGTACACAGCATAAATATTGTTATTTATTTGTCAAAAAGCTGATTTTACAATTTTTTTTATTATATATGATATAAAGTGTTTTACCATTATGACTTTTTAAAGTCATAATGGTAAAATTTCAATGTTAACATTGAATGTAAAATTTCAATGTTAACAGTATAAATTTTACGATTATAGCTTTTTTTTTTTTTTACTATTAGAATAAATCATTTGGGGATGAGTTGTTAACAAAGGTTTTTGTTGCGTTAGATTTGTATGAAAGAGAATATTTTGGATTAAAATACAGAGACAGAAATGGTCAAAGTGTAAGTTAATTAGATAGTTCATATAATTTTATTGTTATTGTTTTATTCAAAAAACAAACTGTAAATTGCCAAAATTTTAAAAATAAAGTAATATTAATTAAATGTTTTTATATAAACATTAAGTGCTAAGATTGTTTCACGTGTCATGTTGCATCAGGAAAAAATATAAACTATTTACAGTATTTTCTGGTTCTTAGATAAAAATATGTCTATATATTATCTATATATAAATAAGGAAAGGAAGTTATTTAATATGTTAAATTTTTAGGTGTATGGCACAATTTAATGGTTGCTTGATGCTAAGTCAATTAATAAACAATAAAATATATTGTATCTGCAGGATTAGAATCAATGACAAAAATCAGATTTTTGAAATGTTTGTTAGTCACCCCTCCCCTCCTCTCCTTATCCTTACTAGCATTTATTTTCTTGGCAAAGAATGGAGAAGAATGGGTTAGAGTTATTACAACTGCTATAATTTCGCCAGTATTTTTTTAGATGTAATTTTTGTCAAAATATCCCATTACAATGAGTATTAACAGTGTCATGTTGCGCATGGTTAGTGTCCTTATAAATGCTTTTGCTGTGCATTGGTGAGGCCACATAAAGAGCTCTAAGTTACAACTTTGGGTTATTTAGCAGGACTGAGACAACTGTATAGTCCTTTGGTTGGATGCCATGCTCTATCTATAAATGAATCAAGTTCTCTTTAACTAAAACTATTTATAAATTAATATTACTAATAGCTTAATATTTTTGTATTTTAACATTGTATATAGAAAATTTATTTCTTTGATTGTTGTTCTAAATAGTCAAGTCTAACAAAATTTAAAACCTAATTGATATATTTTATTGGAAATTCTTGTGTAAACACATAAATATTTCTCTAATTCTAGATGTATCAAAGGGTTAAAAGTTACTTAAACTTTATTAATTTTAAATTCATTGGCACAACTAAAAAGGTATATATCGATGGCATTATGCACAGATCATCATGATAGATGGCATTATGGTGACAGAATACTAGGTGTAATTTCTGATCAAATTGACCATGCACTTTTTCTTTTTTTTCCTTTTCCCTCTGATACCAATATTGTTGTTATTGGTGACTTTAATACTCATCACACTAAATGGCTTGCCTCTAACACAATTGGCACTGCTGACAAGTCTCTTTCTAAGTTAGTTAACTTTGCAGCTTTCCATGCAACCCTAATCACTTACCTTCAGTCTTGATTTGTGTCTTGTAATAGCTTGTGTTCAGTTTCTCCTTGTTCTTCTTTCAGTGGTTTCAACAATGCAATGATATCTATAAATCTTTAATCTTTTACTTCTGCTTCTGACTCACTCTATCATCGCACTAACCACTACTACCCTAAAGCTGACTAAGTTTCTTTTTGTGATTCTCTTCTTTACTTCTTCTTGGATTATCATTTACCTAACCTTTTATTGCAATCATATATTCAATCCATTATTAGTTTGCATCTGTTAAGGTTGCTTCATTTTATCGTGTTCACCATAATCTTACTTCTGTTTTTGTTCTCTACCTCTACAAATCTGTTATTCTTTGCTGTATGGAATACTTTTATCATATTTGGGCTGCTTCTTCTAATGACGCTCTTTCTCTTCTTAATAAGGTCCAAAAACGTATTGTAAACCTAGTTGAAACTTCTTTATCTGAAAAGTTTGAGCTTCTTTCCCATCATTGCAAAGGTGCATCTTTTTCCCTTTTTTAAAATTACTATCATGGTAGCTGCTCAATAGAGCTATTATCTCTAGTTCTTTTAACCAAAACTCTTTCTTGCTTGACGCATCATTTAACAAAGTTGAATTTTTACTGTATTTTACTGTGTCTCTGCATGCTCTAAAAACTTTCATTTTTCTAGTTTTTCCCCACACATTTCAATCCTTTTGAAACTTTCTTTTTTATTTTCTGACTCATACAACTTTTCAAAACTGTCGACCTTCCTTTCCCTTTAACTTTATTCTTCGTTTTTTAATAACTTATAACTTGATAGTGGTTGCTTGCAATTTTGTTGGGAATGAATTAAATTTAAAAAAAAATTGTTTAAATGATTGTCAAAAACTTATTTTAATTTTATAAACAAATTAAATAAAGCAAGTAAATATTTTTTTGTTCTTTCTAATGTTCTTTTTCTATTTTATTTATTGTTTAGATTTATTTTGAACCATCCTTAATGTTGAATATTTTTTATAAAGATTGTTATAAAATTGCTCTTTTAATCTTTATGTAGCATTGCTTAAAGTTATTTCTTGAATTTTATTATAAATAAGCAAACTTGAAAGTTATAATTTCCTGCTTTTAGTCAAAGAAAACTGTATTATTTAAAGAAAATTTAGATTGAGTTAACAATAAAACTTTGAATTGGGAAAAATTGGGTTTTAGTTTTTACAATAACTTTATCAAAAACATCTTTCTAGAAGTTTCCATAGAAAATAATGTTTTTAACAATTAAAGACCTTGGAATGAAAACCTCTATTGTCACAAACGTTTTTTTTTAAGGATAGCATTTAAAATGAATATCATGGTTCCACTAATATATTTTAGTATCTTTTAAATGTCAAATTGCAAAACCATATTTTGTACACTGAATAAGATTAACCAAAATTATTAATTATGTATAATAAAATATTGATTAAAAAGTCAATATGACATTTGATGTTTTTCCAAAAGATTAGGACTATAGATGTTTTACTTCAAAATAAGGAGAAATTTGACTAAAAAAGGAGAAATAAAAACAACAATAATGATAGTTTTTCAACAAAACAGAAAAGTAAATAAAAAAGTAACAAAACAGAAAAATAAATTAATAAAAAATATTTAAAAGATACAAAACATAAAATAAAAGACATAAAAAAAAAAATATTATAGCTAAAATACTGTATTATTTAATATGAGTTTTAATCTGTTTTAGTTAATCCCTTGCTATCTTCTTCATCAGCATTTACCATACTGCTATCATCAGACAAACTTTCATAAAAGTAGGCATTTTGAGGATTTTGTAAATTTTGACATCGTTTTATAACATCCATTTTTAGTATCAAACCATTATAGGACAGTTTCTAGGAAATCGTTGTAGTAGTTCTACTATTTTTTTTTAGTATTTTAAATCTGTCTCAAGATCCAAAGAAACTGTTTTGTTTAGCTATAACTTCACCAACATTATCTTGGTCTATTTTATTTTGACTTTCGAAGTTTAAAATTTTTTCCATAATTTGCCCTAAAATAGGGCTTAAGCATGTCTTTTATATTAAAAAAGTCTTGCTGTTTTGGTTTTTCAAGAATGAAAGGTTTTGGTGTTTTCTGTACCTCCTTATTCCAATCCTCAGGGATGTCTGCCAAGAATTAGAATTTTCTTGCATTGTTAAACAGATGGAAATATGCATCATTTGGCAAAATGGAGTAGCTTCTTATAGTAAAAATGTGAATTACATGATTACTTTAAATAGATTTTTAATAAAGGTATTTAGTTTGTTCTTATGATTTTAAAAATTTACTGATATATATATATATTTTTTGTAAGTACAAGTACTACCATATACCAAAACCAAATTATAACATTTTATTTTTTAGGCATGCAAGACACATAGGAGCGGTGCATGTTTATTGATAATTTATTGATGATGTTGATATATATATATATATATATATATATATATATATATATATATATATATATATATATATATATATATATATATATATATTCATCATCATCAATAAATTATTATTAAACATGCATTATTCCGATGTGGATGTGTATTAAACATGCATTTTTTCTATATGACTAGGATTGCCAGATGTCCGTCTTTTATAAAGGAGAACACAGTAAAAAAATTTATTTTTACAGGTTTGGCGCTATATTCTCCTCCATAAAAGCCAGATGTATGGCAACCCTATGTGACCTAATTGGGCACATAAGCCTAAGCCAAACACATATAATGTCATAGGAATGATGCATATTTAGCAATAATTTATTAAATTAAATATCATATATATATATATATATATATATATATATATATATATATATATATATATATATATATCAGGCTTGGTCGGGAAGCGGGTGCGATCGCTCTCGATAACTGACCACAGAAATACTATTTAGTTGCAAAAAACCGGCCAGATTTTTTAGTCGTTATGAGAATATTTCAAAAACAAACAAAAAAGTGCAATAAGATTAACTGGATCGATGAGAGACAATTAAAATAAGAAACTTTTAACGCGAAAAAACTTAAAGCAAATAAATCCGATTAGAGCAAATTTTTTTGAAACTTTTATAATTTTTTTTTATAAAAATAAGTGACATTTTTTGTATAAAGTAACAACTTACTAATAATAGTTGTTTAATTAGGAAACAAATGTTCTTCGATTTATCAAAAAGTATATAAAATTTTTATTTATATACTTATGTCTTGTTTCATGTGCTGGATTGGGGAGGTTGGGGGGGGCGAGGAGTCGAAAGGCTATAGCCTTGGGACTTGCAGTGTTAGGGGCCGCAAAATAGTCAAGACGACTATTTCGCGGCCCCTAACATTGCGAGTCCCGAGGACTTTTTTCATTTTTTTGCTGTGGCACATAAAAAAGACCACCAAAATTATGCAGTCCCTGGCCCTGAAAAGTCCAACAAGATTCAACCAATAAAACTAACCCTATATGATTTATTTATAAATAAAAAAGTTTTTCAATAAATCTTTTATGTTTTTTAGTAAGATGAACAAATGAAATAATTAAATCATTGAGTTACTGTAGAAATTCAATTAGCTAAATAAAAAAAGTTAAATTACTACGTGAGGAGGAAGCAGAACTGCTTCACAATAACACTGATGATGTTTAGTAAGTGGGCTTTATAATTTTAATTAGTATTTAAAGCAGAAAAAAGTAATTTTAAGTTTAAGTATAACGAGTTTGTAAGAATGGCTGAAGCAAAAATAATTGTAGTTAGTAAACCAATTTCTAAGAACTTAAAAACTTTTCTTTCTTGGGGGAAAGAATCAGTTATCGGGTACACTGAGGAAAATGGATTAGATTTTAAAATTATTTGTATTGACATTGATGATTATTATTAATTTCATTAAAAACGCATTTATTATTGAAAGTATTTTTGTTTAAAAAATCAATCGCACAAACTGCATTAAAAAATTACATTTGAGTAAAATATAGATACATAAAATCACATGCACAAAAAATACATACATAAAAATATATTACATAAAAAATACATCACATACATAAAAAATGCATCCCTTATATAAAAAATAAGAATATGCTAATAAAATCTATAACATAATTACAAAACTTTAACATGTTAAAAAAGATAAGTTTAAAACATTTATTTTTGTAAACAAATAATGTTAGTTTAAAAAATTTATAGCCTTGTAGATGTGGCTCCGAGAATTAAAATAATAGTTCGTTTGATAGTATATTCTTAAAACAATTTATGATAGAAATCACAACGAAAACATAACAAAACCCAAATAATACAATTTTTTAAATTATTTTAACAGATTACTCTTTTAACCAATAGAAGTAGTTGTTCGTAGATTTCGCAAATATTCTTTTTTTATTATTCCACACAAAGATGTTTGAGAACATTCGAGTTTATGTATGTTTTTTTATGTATGTCCGTAAAACAAAATATATAAAATTGGCGATAAAAAATTTAAATGTTCTCAAAATGACTAAAAAATCTGGCCGGTTTTTTGCAACTAAATATTATTTCTGTGGTCACTTATCGAGTGCGATCACACCCGCTTCCTGATCAAGCCTTATATATATATATATATATATATATATATATATATATATATATATATATATATATATATAATATATATATATATATATATATATATATATATATATATATATATATATATATATATATATATATATAGTATATATATATATGTATATATATATATATATATATATATATATATATATATATATATATATATATATATACATATATATGTTTATTTGTTATTAGTTAATAATATTATAATTTAATGCTTTATTTTATACCTGCTTTGCCAACAGTTTTTTAGGGAGATTTCCTGCATGATTAACATGACCAGCTTTCTTTACTTTTGCAATTTTAATTAAGTTCTTTTAAAAATTTAAATAATTCTTTTAAAATTATATGTCCTTTAAATTGACTGTTGAAAAAAAAGGTGCTTTTGTAAAAATATTAATAGTCACAACAGGTTTGTTTAAAAACAGCAAAAGGAAAATTAACCACTTGCTGTGGTTAATTTTCCTTTTCCTGGGTTTTTCAGACACTTGTATTCATGAATTTTCCATTATAAACCCTGCGAAAACTTAAAGTAACCAGAGAACGACACAAGAAACACCATTCATAAATGTCAAACAATAAGTGATTATACCGTTGTGCAGTGGTAAAAATTTGCTGTTTTTAAACAAACCTTTTGTGACTATTGATATTTTTACAAAAGCACCTTTTTTTTTTGACAGTCAATTTGAAGGACATATAATTTTAAAAGAATTATTTAACAAGAATCATTGCATGGACTCATGGGAACCAAAAAATAACATAAACCATAAAATTGCATAAAAATGGACATTTAAAGGTCTTTAATTTTAAATGTTGCAAATAAATAATAAATTGTAGTTTATAGTATCTAATTTTGTTTTTAGTATCTAAAATTGGGTGTTTATGAATGCTTTAGTTTAAAATAAAAAACGATTTTTTAATAATAATATTTACATTATTTATTTAAGTAATAATAAGAATAAGTTGAAGTTGACTGTATAATATTGATTATTTAGCATTGGCTCGATCCAACTAAACTTGTTAAAAAGCAAATCCAAAGTATGTAAAAAGTTTTTTTTTAGTTCTTAATAAAAAAAATAACTTTTATTTTTTATTTCAAGTATTTTTCTAATTTACTTTTATTGAGTTTAGCAAACTTCAGCATACCTGTATATACATTTTACTTCAATATTAAGTTTTATGCTGCAGATCCTACAAAACTTCGTGAAGAAATTACGAGGTTTATTTCTATTATTTTTATTGTTACAATTATATTGTTTTTATTTCTTAATATTATTACTGTTATTAATATTATTTTTACTATTGTTGTTGTTATAATTGTTATTGGTGTTAATAATAATAATATTGTTATTATTATTATTTTTGATAATCTTAATTAGTTGGTAAATTAATATTTTAGGTATCAATTTTTCTTGCAGATTAAAAAAGATATTTTTCAGGGCAGGTAATAATTTTTTATAAATAATTTTTTGATATTATCTGAATATAACTAGTTTTTTCAGGGCCAGTAATTAAAACTTGCGTGTAGTTATTTAATTTTATTTTTATTTTACTCTTATTTGATTTAGAATTGTTTGTGATTTAAAAACAATAGCAGAACTTAGTTCATATGCTGTGCAATGTAAGAGTTAATATATATTTTTTGTTTTGTCTTATTTATTATACAAAAAGAAGCTCTAAAAATTTTTTTTTCTTTTTTAGTAGTTACAGTCAATCATATAATAACAGTTAAAATATTGAAAAAATTATATTTAAGTTATAATTATAAAGACAATCGCATATAAAAAATCTATATATAAATAATAAGTATTATTGTTAAAAAAACAATTTTTTAAAAATTGAATACTGCTAGCTTTTTTTTTTTTTTTTTTTTTTATTTGCTCCTATTAAAACTCAAGTTGGTGTAATTTTAAAAGAAAAAAAAAATTTATAAAAAGGAACTTGTCAAAATCAGTTAAAATCAGAAAATTAAAGGATCTAGAGAATCCTTAAGTTGTCTGAATGTCATTTTTAAATGTCTAAGCAGAGTTGTTAGTCCTTAGCCTTGCCCTTGCCTTAAGGTGAAAAATTGAGGCCTTGGCCTTGGCCTTGGCAATGAAACTGTTGGCCTTGGCTTTTATTGTTTTAGCCTTGGCCTTTAAAAAAATACATATTTTCTTATTGACTTTGTTGAATTCTGCACATAACCTTGGTCTATTTTTACAAAATGTGGTTTTATTGTTACAGCGCTTGTTATTTACAGCTTTGCTAATAATTGGCCTTAATATAAGACAAAAATTGAAGTCTTTGGTCTTGAAAATGTTTACGTAGGCCTTGGCCTTGAAAATCTTAACCTTGGCTTTGACCTTAAAACTCTTGGCCTTGTCCTTATCTTTGGTTTTGTAACGTGTGGCCTCGGCCTTGTCCTTGCTACTTTTGGCCTTGTTAACAACTCTGTGTCTAAGTGACCTAAAAGTTTTCTGAGATCCTAGATTGAACTTAGATTTAGCAGAGGGAGTAAAAAATTTATTAAAAAAATATTCAGGTTCACTATAAATTACTGTTAATAAAGATAATCTATCAATAGTGCTAAAGGTTCTTCACTTTTGTATTTGTATTGTCTTTCAACAGGATCATAAGGATGATAAATTCAACAGGATCATAAGGTTTCCTGATAAATACAAAAATAAAATTAAAAAATGAAAAATCTTTGCTGCAGAAGAAAAAACTTAGATTTTTTTTTCTACTAATTTATGTGTACATGTATGTATGTATATGTGTTTGTGTGTGTGTGTGTGTGTATGCAAGCCTTGTTATAAATATAAAATGCATAACATTTTTTAACCATAACAAATCATTAAAAACAAAAAAAAGTCTTTATAAAATTCTTTTTGTTTGATTTTTGTATTTATATTGTTTTTTTCGGACATTAACTTTTTTAAACTACGTTAATTTAATATATACATATATATATATATATATATATATATATATATATATATATATATATATATATATATATATATATATATATATATATATATATATATATATATATATATATATATATATATAAATTAGTGATGTCACAAATATTCGGCGACTTAATAAAAAAGGCAATTGTTTAATATTCTTTCCCATTAAAGTTAAACCATGTTTTAAGTTCAGGTTGTCGTGAAAATAATATTTTTATTAAGTTTTTTATGCTAATTCAATCTATAGGATTTTCTGAAATAACCTCAGAAGTGCAAGATATACCTGAGCTGATTATTTTTGAACTTTTCTGAATGCTTTGAAGAGTATGAGACTTTAAGACATAACTGTAGTCAAAATATTTGGTGTATCAGTCGACAAATAATGCATGCTGTGACACAACCTATAAATAAATGCCCACAGAGTAGTTGAGTTATGCACTACAACAAAACAGGTTGGAGCCCTCAATATAATTAAGTGTTGCCGAATATTTATGGCATCTCTTTTATATATATATATATATATATATATATATATATATATATATATATATATATATATATATATATATATATTAGGGTGGTGCTTAAACCAATTTTTATGAGAAAATCCTGCTGGTACCCCCTAAATGTGTTTTATCTAATACAAAAACACTAGGTTTAAAATTTTTTTGAACAAAAAATATTTTTAGGGGTAGCTCAAGGCCCTCAAAAATTTGACGGGTCCCTAATATTTTGAAAAAAAAACTTTTTCTAAAGTATGTCAACCTGGTACTCAAAAGAAGCGATATTATATAAAAACTTCAAAAATAATAATCATTTTACATAAAAAACATGCCTAAAAAAATTATTCTCAAAAAACCTGAAAATATTGACTTTTTTCATTTTCAGCTTAAAAACAATGGTTTTTATGCATTTATACCTGAAAAAATTATTTTTATAAAAAATTATTTTCATTTTTAAATTTTTTATATAATTTTGCTTATTTTGAGTACCAGGTTGACATACTTTAGAAAAAGTTTTTTTTTCAAAATATTAGGGACCCGTCAAATTTTTGAGGGCCTTGAGCTACCCCTAAAAATATTTTTTGTTCAAAAAAATTTTAAACCTAGTGTTTTTGTATTAGATAAAACACATTTAGGGGGGTACCAGCAGGTTTTTCTCAAAAAAGTTGTTTTAAGCACCACCCTAATATATATATATATATATATTTGCATAATTATAGATCTTTACTAACATATTGATTTTAAATTTTAGCAGAACTCGGAGATTATGAACCATCTATACATACAGGGAACTTTATTTCACAGTTTCGGTTTCTTCCTAATCAGGTATTTAAATAAGTAATCAGGTCTTTGGTTACCAGATATGTTATCTAGTAGTCAATTAATAAACCCAATCAGAAAATCAAAAATTATTATGAAATTTATGCATCACATAATAGTCAGGTGTTTAATAGGCAAGCAAGTATTGATTCAAATATTCTAAAAATTATCAACAGAAAATAAAAAATGAGTTCTAGCATTATCTAACATAATAATTCCAATAAAAAATCTGGTTTTATGATGAAATTTTTAACTAATAATAATTTTGAATTCATTTGGTCGATAAATGCCTTCTGAGGTTTAAATTGTTTGTATAATAATATAATAAAAATTGTTTGTATATAAAAACAATTATTATTGTATTATTTTTGTTACTAAAAAAAATTCTTTTGTTACAAAAGAACATTCAAAAGAATAGAGTTTTAAAACAATAAAACTAAAACTCAAAGCAAAGTATATACAAACAATTATTATTGTAAAGAATGTTTTTTTGTAACAAAAAGTTGTATTTGTTTGTGGTTGCAGGATTGTTTGCTATGATTTTTCAAAACAGTGTTTTATTTCATTTATTATTAATGCATAGGGAAGTGGGGGCATAACTGCATATGGAGGCACAACCGCATATGGAGGCACAACCGTTATTTAACATTTACCTTTGAAAAATGTTATCTAGTATGGCTAAAAAATATCACGTGTTAGTAAAACAGTTTCCTTCATTTCACTTATGTCAAAAAAAGTTCCTGTTGCGTTTCTTAGAAGTTGTGCATGATAATGTTTATTTTGATAAAAATATTATATTTACATCATATTTTTCTAGATATTTTTTTTGAGGGTTAAGCAATATTTGATTTTAGTGTTTAAGATATGTGTTAACAGCGTTATTTCATCAAGTGAAAACCATTTTTGATATCAACATAACCTAATAAGCAAGCTATGAAACTTTAATCTTTCTAAAAACTGTCTTCTGGGGCAGAACCGCATAGACGCACAGGAGGCAGAACCGCATACTTTTGATATTTATCAAAGTTAGGTAATTACGAATAACAATAATTACAATAATTACGAATAATTACAATAATTACGAATAACAATAATTGTCACACTTGAATACAATCATGTAAAAACTTGAATAGAAATAGTTTTGTTTTGAGATGTTGGAAATTAAATTTCGTATTTTTTTATTTAATTTTTTTAAATGAGTTTTTCAAAAAATAAAACGCTAAGAGTATATCGAGAGAAACTTAGACTGTAAATACAAAGAATGCCTTTCAAAATCAGCAATAATCTAAGCAGTGACTATTGTGAAGAAAATGTTCCAAGAAAAGTGTACCCCCAACAGTTTTTGTGAAGATGTGATTGTGCCTCACAATAGGGGCAAAACCATTTTTTTCACTAAGTGTAATTTTTGTGTAATAACATTTTCAAAAACTGTTTTTTTTTCTTAATTGCATCAATTTAAAGCTTAATGATGAGGTTATTGAAATAAACTGTTAACAAAAACACAATTTGTTTTTATTTTCATTTAGCATTAATCCAAACGTTACAGGGGCGGTTATCCCCCCACTTCCCCTATATGAACATATTGTGTATGAACATTGTGTAAACACACTGTTTATGAAAATTCAAACATTTGTTGTATATTCATACATACTAGCAGTAAGCAACCCGTAATACGCGTTGTTAGTAAATAAAATTAAAAAAAAAAACGCGTATAGAAAAACCTAGAAACTACTTTAAAATAGAAAAGCCTAGAAAATGACGTAACTCGACTAATAATAATATTAAATAAGCGTATTCATATTATCAGATTACATAGTATATGTTTACAATGTTTATTTTTTTTTTTTATGTAACTATAGTTAAATATAGATTAACTTTTTTTTTTGATTTTTAAGAAATTTAAATTTTCTATTATATGGCTATGAATTGAACTTGGCTTTTTTTTAGACAAAGGAATTTGAAGATCAAGTATTTGAAATGTACAGGAAATTGAGGTTGTATTTTGATATTTCTAAAACCTTTTCAAACAGGTTTTAGGAACTCTGTGACACACACACTCACTCTCACACACACACACACACACACACACACACACGCACACACACACACACTTTTCTCCTCTGAAATATTTAAAAATGCTGAAATACAAGTTTAGTATTAGTAAATATTCAAAACTTGAGATTATTTTCTTAAATGCCTTAATAAATTTTTCTTTTAATGACTTAAGGGGTAAACAGATTTTTGTTGACCAGCCTCATACCCCTTCTTCATCTTTTAGGTTGGCGCAGATCTATTTTTAATACATTGTTTCCAGTTTAGGATGTTGAATGCTGGATCTTATTGACTTAATGCATGAGTTTTGCTTGCGTTTTTATGACAAGGCCACTCATTCTATTATCTCCTAATGAGGGTACAGCTGTAAAACTCAGTTTTATGGTTCTGAGGCCGCTGGCAGTCAGGATTCCCGAACTCTGTGGTAGCTCTCAGATAAGCTGATTCCATCAACAGCTGAAAAATGTCATAGTATTAACAGTGCCTTGTTGCACATGGATGGTGTCCCTGTTCGGTGATCATTTTTAGTGATCATTGTCGAGTAATCACTTTTGGTGATCATTTTGGTGATCACTTTTGGTGATCATTGTCAAGGCCACATTTGGAGCCCTTTGTTACGACTTAGGGTTTATTAATAGCAATGAAGCAAGTGCTTGGGCTATTAAACAGTGTACTGAGTACTGTCTATGCTTTGAGTCAAGTTCTTTAACAAATTCAAAAATGAATAAAGTACCAAAAACTATAAAACACAAAAAACCATCGTCATCACTAAGTTCTCTAAACCTATTATTCACTAATATTCGTGGTCTTCAAAGTAACTGTTGAGTCTTATCTCTTGCAAAGTTCACCAGACCTACTTGCTCTTTGTCAGACTAATTTGAGTTCAGCTGTCTCATCTTGTGACCTTAGTGTTGATGGTTATCTTCCTTTAATTTGCAAACACTCAAAAAGTCACATGCTTGGACTATTACATTTGTAAGAATTCACTCATTTTGGGAAAGTAGATATTAATTGGCGGATTATTCTTTTATATGCTTTCAATTAATACCACTTCAATCTATTACCTTTCTTTTTGTTCTATATCGCTCTCCTTCATCTTAAGACTGCATTCTTTTTGATGTTATTTCTGAACAAATTGACCAAGCCCTCTTTCTTTATCCATCACCCAATATCATTGTTGTTGGTGACTTTAATGCTCATCACACTGAATGGCTTGGCTCTCGTGTCAGTGACCCTGCTGGCGTTAAGGCTCTCAACGTTTGCCTTACTCAATCTCTAACTGAAATAGTCAACTTTTTTAACCTGCTTTCTAGATCATTTAATTATTTTAATCATTTATCATCTCTACTTGACCTATGTCTTGTTTTTGATCCTATTCAGTGCTCAGTTTCTCCACATTCACACTTAGGTGCTTATGATCATGGTTCGATCTCTCCAAAACTATTATCTCATTCTTCTTCTTTTTTTTTTTTTTTTATTTGCATTTACTCCCAACAAGGCTGCAAGCAACCACTATTAAGTTGGGAGTTACTAGGAAAAAAAAAAGAACAGAGTTATAGAGCAAGGAAACCGTTGACAGAAGACTTGAAAAGTTGAAGGTTGTATGAGTCAGGAAAACATGAAGATGGGAGAGAGTTCCAAAGGATTGAAGTGCGGGGAAAAAAACTAGATGAATAAAAGTTTTTAGAGCATGCAGGGACAGATACAGTAAACAAATGAGACTTAGCTGAATGACGAGTAAAACGAGAATGAATTTTAGTTGATGGAACTAGAGATGATAACTCCTTTGAGCAGTGACCATGATAGTATCTGTAGAAAAGAGAAAGAGATGCAACTTTACGACGATGGGAAAGAGGTTCAAGATAGCAGATAGTCCAGGTCCAACAACATTTACAATGCGTTTTTGGACCTTGTCAAGAAGAGAAAGTGAATCGTTAGAAGAACCAGCCCAAATATGACAACAGTATTCCATACAGGGACGAATAAGAGATTTGTAGAGGTAGAGAATGGAATCAGAAGTAAGGAAATGGCGAGCACGATTAAGAGAAGCAACCTTAGCAGAAGCTAATTTAGCAATTGATTGTATATATGGTTTCCATGAAAGGTCAGTAGTAAGCGATAATCCAAGAAGACGTAAAGAGGACGACTCAGTCAGAGGATTGCCATTCATTAATATAGGAATGTTGACCATATTACGGTAGTTGTTTGCAGTAAGCAATTGGGTTTTTTTAGAGTTGAAATTCACAAGCCACTGTGAACCCCAATCTATTACAGAAGTGAGATCAGATTCAAGATCAGCTGCTTGTTCTAGGCGATCAAAAAGAGAAGACTTTTTGTTAAGACAGGAGTATAAAGTTGAGTCATCAGCAAAAAGAGCTACTTTAGATGAAAGGTTGTCAGGAAGATTGTTTATGTAGATAAGAAACAAAACAGGGCCCAGGATGGAACCTTGGGGAACCCCAGAAGTTACTGGAAATAAAGAAGAGTGTTGGCCTTCAAGGATGACTTTAATAAACCGGTTAGAAAGAAATGATTTGATAATCTCAAGAACTTTCCCAGAAACACCATATGAAGCAAGCTTATGGAGAAGACCAGCATGCCAAACTTTGTCGAAAGCTTTAGATATGTCGAGAGCACTAGCCCTAGCCTCACCGCCTCCATCTAATGCACGATAAAATCTTTCAGTTACAGCAGTTAGCAAGTCGGCCGTAGAGCGAGAGGATCGAAAACCGTATTGATTGTCTGACAGCAGTTTATTTGACTCAAGATGAGATGTGAGGAATTTGTTGATCAAAGACTCAAAGACCTTGCTAATAACAGAAAGAAGACTGATCAGACGATAATTGGAGGGGTCAGAATTTTCTCCAGAGTTTTTGAATATTGGAACCACAGATGCCATTTTCCAACAAGCAGGAAAACAAGACTCAGTCAAACACTTGTTAAATAGTTTAGAGAGAATTGAAGAAAGTTCTGGAGAACAATTCTGCAAGACTGTGACAAGAATGTTGTCTGGACCACAAGCTGTAGACGATTTTAATTGAGATATGACTTAAGCAACAGAAGCCGGAATGATTTGAATGTCTAACAATGGGTCAACCTGTTTGATTGGAATGGAAGGAAGAGAATGTCCATAAGATTCTTAATCATCAGAATCCCCCTATCATTGTACCTCTTACAACTACCTTAAAGCTGATTGGGGCTCTTTCCGTTATTTTGTTTGTGGTGGCCATTTGCCTTCCTGCTGACAAATGTGCTTCTTACATAACCTCTTAGATTCAGGCTGGCATGGAATCTTTTTATTCCCTTTTGAAGATTTCAGATTAAGCCTCACTTTTCTCCATGGTTTTCCTCACATTGTGCTACTGCGATTTTAATTGAAACAGTAACTTCCATATCTATCAGCAAAACAACTCTCCAGAAAACAGTTCTTTGTTTACTATTGCTAGAAACCATTGTAAATTGACATTAGACAAAACCATTGGTTTTGTCTAATGTCAAAGCCTACTATTCTCAGGTCATGAAGTCTCATATTTTATTACAAAAATTAGGCTTTCATGACTTTTGGAGAATCTTTAATAGTATCAATAATAAGGGCAAATCTGTAATTCCACCTTTCTTGTATGTTTCAGACTTTGCCACCTCACCTATAGACAAAGCTGAACTGTTTGCTAAGAATTTTTCATCAACATCGTCTTGATTCCACTAGTTGCGTTCTACCTGATATAGCTGTCAAACCGGTTGATCCATTATTTGACATTCGTATCACTACAGCTTCTGTATCTAAAGTGATTTCCTGCTTAGACTCTTTTACAGCTTGTTGTCAAGACCTTTGTGGTCATACCTGTTATAGTCTTGCAGAAGTGTTCTCTGGAGCTGTCGTCTATCCTATCAAAACTATTTAACAAGTGCTTATCATAGTCTTGTTTTTCAGCCTGCTGGAAAGCAGCATCTGTTATCCCTATTTTCAAAAATTCTGGATAGGGATCTGATTTGTCTAACTACCATCCCATTAGTCTTCTTTCTATCATAAGCGTGGTTTTTGAATCTTTAAATAACAAATACTTAATCTCTAATCTTGAATCTAATAACTTACTTTCTGATCATCAATATGGGTTTGGATCTTTTCAAAATCTATGCAGCTAATTTGATAACAGTAATAACTGATGGGTTTTATCGTGCATTAAGTAAAGATGGATAGGTTAAGGCTATCCCTCTAGACATTTCTAAAGCTTTTGATAAAGTTTGGCATGCTGATCTTTTCCATAAGCTTTCTTCTTATAGTGTATCTGGTAACATCTTTGAGGTTATTGAATACTTCCTTTTCAGTCGTAGTATAAAAGTTTTCCTCAATGGACAGTATTCGTCTTCATATCCTGTAACTTCAAAGGGTTCCTCAAGGTTTAATCCTTGGTCTTATACTCTTTTTAATTTTACATTACGATCTTCCAGATATTATTACATCCAAAGTGGCATTGTTTGCTGATGATGCTACTATTTATTATTCTCATGATAAGAAAACAACACTCTCTGATCGCTTGGAGAGGGCATTAGAGCTTGAAAAGGATCTCACTTCTGCTACAGAATAATACTTACCGCGGCTAGTGAACTTTAATTTAGATAAGATCCAATATTTATCCAGTTAATCATTATCGTAATAATTTAGATCTTCCTATAATTATGAACAATAATGTAATCAATGAGTCATCTACCCTTAATCTTCTAAGAATAACTCTTACTTTCAATCTTTCTTGGAAACCATATATAAAATTTATTGCAAAATTGACATCTGCTAATGTTGCAGATGGTTAAATCTGGCCTTGTATGGAACACTGTTGTTATATTTAGGGCAGATCTTCTAATGATGCCCTTTCTCTTTTAGACAAGGTGCAAAAACGCATTGTAAACATAGTTGGACATGCTCTTTCAGCCAACCTCCAACCAT